TCTCTATTGGCTGTTACAGTAGTAGTCGAAATCATTGCAATTGGCACACACTATGTAAATATCCCTCGTAATGTGTCACATCTGACACACAGTAATAGCAAAATGCTGCACTAAATAGATTTATTGGTTAGAATTTTGACTTAATACGAGGGATTTTAAAGAGTGTGTGCCAATTGCAATGATTCCGACTGTACAGCACTGGAACCACAAACAATCGCTATCGATAAGTTCTCGACAATTTCTCCTCATTTGTCACCTCGTCCACCCATCGCTCAACGTTAGGGTCCAAAATTGCCACCACAAATGAACACTTGCGGTGCAAACGAACGTTTGCGGTGGCAATTTTGGCGACTAACGTTGAGCGATGGGTGGACGAGGTGAGAACTTGTCGAGAAATTATCGATAGCGATTGTTCGTGGTTCCGCCTCAGGTTCTTTTAATGAGTGGTGTTTATTCATATTGTTTCTGTATCAACTGGTATCAACATGGCAACATTACAGTCATTACACTACAGCAGTACTGTCAACAGTGTCAACTGTCACTGTCTTTTTCTGACGATGTACAATCTTGGAGCTTTTAATTTTGGCGCGTGAATAAATTTATACTATTTCCAAATACAAGCGGCAGTGAATGACATCAAATAACCCAAATTCTAAACAAACACCAGCCTTCTAAGGGCGGGTATTATAAAACTGCTTTGACAGTTAACTTGAAGTTAACTTTTTGAATTACAGAAGTTAACTTTAAGTTAACTTTCAAAGAAGTTTTATAATACCCGCCCTTATTGGTTGAAACGCCCTACCTGAACCAGTGCGCATGCACGAAGGACATGATAGGTTGTAATGTAAATGACCAGTTTGTCATTTACTGCCGCTTATTGGAATTGGCTCAACAATCTAAGGGTTCAACCATAGTTGCTTATAACTCCTACATTCTTTCCATAAAAGCTAACGAGAACTGGGCAAAAGATAATCCAAAATAAAAATCTAGGAAAAAAGTTTTTCTATAATGCTTAGGTAAGGAGTTGTGTCAAATTCAAATTGATATGGGTAATCGTTCAAGGTAGGTATAGAAAGAAGACGTCAAAATAAATGTATAGCTACTTTGAAAATTAGTTTTGAATAAAATACTAAATTTTTTCACATACCCGATCAGTCGCTAACCCCCCTGTTCCGAATTCAAGAAAATCTGGGGTCGATCGCTAGTCCCCCTGTTCCATGTTCTCCAGGTACCCAGTTAGGGTCCCAGTGCGACTGTTAAGACGTTTAGGACATGAGTACCGTCATATGAAGTTTTGATCTTAAAAGGCGATTTTCAGCCTGGGGGGGTTTATTTGAAATGTGCAATTCAAATACGTCTGACTAAGTCGCAATTTTTGCCGGAATTTCAATGCTAAAAAATGCGACTTTGTCAGACGAATTTGAATTGCACATTTCAAATAAACCCTCCCTGGAATGATTATTCATCGGTGAATACCGTGGTTATTCTTTTGGTTGACAACTTTGACAGCCAAGTGTGTCGTCATCAATGAACTATAACCAAAAACTGGAATGCGAACACATATGGCGAACGTGAGGCCTAGTGTGGCTGCTGCGGAGGGGATACCTGTTTTTGTCGCACTCATTATGTTAAATGGCGAAAATTGCTTCCAACACGTATTCCAATTGATGAAACCTGTGAAGGGAAATATGACAAAACTTTCGAAAACGTCATATGTCAGCGAGCAACAGAGAAAAACAACATTCCCTCTTGTGGCATCTGTCTTTCATGGCTTCATTTTTTTTGGCAGATATGGCAATGTGTGCGCATTCCAGTTTTTAGCTATAGTTCATTGGTCGTCATAGCCCCATCATAACCCAAGGAACTGACCGCTGAAATGATTTGGTTATGCGTATTATTTTTATTTGTTTTTTCGTTTCATTAATGGTTTCTTGTTAAGGTACAAAAAATGGATAGTCCAGGAGGTGGCGCCAAAAACATGCAAGAGTTTTCGCAAGGCGGATATTTTCAAAATAGGTCGTACTTTAGTGCTAGAATGCTAGTGTACAGTCAGCACTCACAGTTCCGGGACAGCTGGCTCTGGAACGCGGGCAAAGTTGTAATTTTAAGAAGCATCTAAACTGTTTTCTCAAAGCTCAAAATTTATAGAAATTTTGCACATTATCTGTTTGAAGGTCACAGATAACGTATGTAAATCGTCAGACCTCTAGTTCGTTGCAAAAAGGGGGTCAGACGTCCTCAAAGTTTTTATTTTATGGCATTTTCTTCAAATATATTTGTCAAATACCTGCAAAAATATATTTTGACAGGACACCGAAGAAAATGCCATAAAATTAAAACTTTGAGGACGTCTGACCCCCTTTTTGCAACGAACTAGACGTCTGACGATTTACATACGTTATCTGTGACCTTCAAACAGATAATGTGCAAAATTTCTATAAATTTTGAGCTTTGAGAAAACAGTTTAGATGCTTCTTAAAATTACAACTTTGCCCGCGTCCCAGAGCCAGCTGTCCCGGAACTGTGAGTGCTGACTGTACACTAGCATTCTAACACTAAAGTACGACCTATTTTGAAAATATCCGCCTTGCGAAAACTCTTGCATGTTTTTAACGCCAGCTCCCCAACTAGGAGCGCAATGCGCAATCTCTCGTCAGTGGCGTATTTACGATTTTCATCTGGGGGGGGGGGGGGCCCAACGTAACAATTAAAACAAATAAAATTAATTATCTTTCTCTAGCGGGGGGGGGTCAAAGTTCCTAAAGTTAATATGTTGTTTGGTAATGGGTAACTTGATGACGCATCTGGGGTGTCTTATGGAGATTTGCATTATGTTGAGGCACCCCAGGTGACGTCATCGAGTTATCCAAGGATGATACACATTACTACACAACAGGATAGCCTGTCCTCATAAAGCCTGTGTGGAACAATTCCCCCCGTACCGAATCACCAGTTGTGACGTAGCAGCATGTTATTCCTCGCCTTGAGATGGACTGTTTACATTGGTTTGAACAGCTGACGACTAAGTTATGACGTCGGAAATGGTGACACACCAATATGGAGGCGATTATCAAAAATGAGGTCTATAAAGCAATCCTGATGAAGGTGTGCATCATCCTTGCAGGCAACCTACCTCTCTCAAATAACCTTGAGCGGGGGTAGTGAAATGAAAAATCGAAAAACTCCGATGGAAATGACGACATCAATCATCAATGTGAAGGATCGAATGTATTGATTACAGTATGTATTGATCCCTCTGTGTCTTTCTCTCACTTCTATTCCCTTTCTTTCATCCTTTCATCAGACATTTCTGTCTCTGTTTTATCCTGGAGTGCGTTCAAAATCACCCTGTCACACCAGGGTTGCGTTCGAGAACCTGGTTATTGGTGTGAAAATTATTTCAATGAGTGAGGGTCCGACACACTACGGTGTGTAAATTCTCTAGGTTTTCAAACGGTGACCGAGTCGTTTATGGTTTGTTAATGTGCTTATTCAGTAACTAAAAATTAAAAATACATCAGGGGGGTTCGGGCCCCCTGAGCTCCCCCGTAAATACGCCACTGTGTCTCGTTAGTCTCGTTTATCAAAGAGATTTTTTTTCGGTCGGGATGATCTACATCACACAATCCGATGTTTACAGGTACAGGTGAAATGTATCACCTTTCAATGCTATTTGATAGGGAAAGGTGATAAATTCACCTGTACCTGTGGTGGACATCGGATTGTGAACAGGATATATATTCGCTCTTTTTTGACGCTTCGACAATTTGACGTTTGATACATGCATAAAACGTCAAATTTTCGAAGCAATGTCAAAAAAAGAGCGACTTCCGCGCAAGTGAGAATGAGGCATACAGCTGGGTTATAATAAGCTCGATGGTTATAATCGGTTATAAGTGGTAAATACCAAAAGTAAATCAGTTGATCTGTGACGTCACAACTTCCCCTACTTTGGTAAAGGTAAAAACCGCAACGGCGGAAATGCATTGGTTAAAATCAACTAACAATCATTCCAAGCTAGAAATCGTCTAAAATGAACCCAAAATTCAGTTCCAATATTGACATTCATTAACAAAACACCCTGTATATTAGAAATCAACAATGACAACATTACACTAGATTACATTATAAACTACGCACTACTGTCTGTCAACCTGTTACACTCGGTTATTCTCGCGTGCCAATTTAAAAAGCTCTAATGGCCGTTTTCACCAACTATTTTAGGGAAGCCCTAACGATAAGTGTTCCCTAAACTGACAATTTTCCATGGAGAAATGTCAGTTTAGGGAATACTTATAGGGCTTCCCTAAAATAGTTTGTGGAAACGGCCATAAGTACAGAAGCGCCCTCTACAACTCAACTTCCAATATTACATGCCATTCCAAATAAAAGGATTTTTCGATTAAAGAAATTTTGTAAATACAATTCTTCAGCTTCAGCTAGTCGTCGATAGATGGCGCTAGTCGTAAATGTATAAACGACTTTAAAACATTTTCATGGTTTAAATATAAAAATCTATTATTTTTGCGAAATAGATGAGCTTAGGAGGTTTAGCAAAATTACTAAATAATCCCTTCGAAGCTTTGCTTGCTTAAAAATCAGCTGCAAAATGGAGAAATCCTCAAATTCAATTTCAAACTTGTATTTTTTGACATTTGGAATAATTTTTAAAGGCAAATGTTGGCATTGTCGCATCTATGGGGTGAGTTTTTTTCGAATTCCAATTAAAAATATTGATATCAACAACAAAATTTACCTAAAAACAGTTAATTTCTTTATGAACAAATAAACTAAGGTCGATAATTGCATAAAGTAAACCATTGAAGGTCGAAAACCTTTCTATAGATGGTGAATGCGCGGTGGGGAACGCAGCTCTTTCGTCCGGTTGTCGGATTGGTGGAAAATTACGAACAGCGCAGGCCGATTGGTCGGTTTCTAGGCGACCCAGCTCAATATCCAAATTCCAAGAGAGACGAACGAAAATCATTTGTGGTCTTCTCGCCAAAGAGAACAGTCGGTTATATGAAAAAAAAAATATGAGTAATTTAAAAAATATTTCTGTCCCACAAGCTGCTCAGGACAGAATAAATCAGTGAATGAGTGACTTTTACATGCCATTTCATTAACATATTCCTGCCTAGTGAATATTTAAAACTATTTAAAAATCGCATAATGGCTCTCGTATGTGATAAAAAAAGGTTTGCATTAATTTTTGTCGCCAGAAATTAGGGTCAAAATCGATTTTTATCCTCGCGAAATCGCTAGGACAACGTGTCAAAAACGATGGGGCGTGGACGGAGAGATGCAACTTTCACACAAATGCAATTTTTTTTCCTCTACAGGGCAATAACCCGAGGGGCCAAAATCTAGCTAAACATTCGCTTTGGTGGTTTTCGTTAATTTTGAAAAATCAGGGAGAAAACCCCAGCGAAATAGCTGAATTTTCGGCCTCTTTATGCAACAAAGAAACTGTATAGTGCGTCATTCAGGACGCTTACAGTGTTGCCACGCTTAATCCATATAAGGTAAAGAAACTTCTCTTTAATTGCTAGCATTTAAGTTTAAAAACAGTCATTTTAGTTTTAACTAATATAATAATTTTACATTTTATTTACAAAAAAAAATTTCGTTTATTATACGAGACTTTATCGCCCCCCGAAATAATATTTTGTCGACCTCGATGGCAACAGGGCTTCGGCGAAATCAATGCCAACTTGGACAGCTATGTTCCAAAATTTTCTCATAATATTTGTTTAGTCAATAATGGAAAAAGGCCTTGAAATTGTTATTAGTTAGTTTTTGATAAGAAACTCATTTTAATTTGGTTAAATGCCTATACTTTTTCAAAAGTACCTACTTTTCTGAAACAATATTTTTAATCTATAGGGTAGTTTTTAATTCAAAAAATAGGTACCTACCAGGTAGAGGCATTACAAATTGTAGCTTTAAATCCAGTGTCCAATAATAATGCCTAAATATCTGAATCTAATTATTAGTCATTAGATAATAATTATTTTCTCATTAAATAAAATTTTGGAACATAGTTGGTCTATTGACGTCATCTGCTCACTCCGCATAACAACTACGCCATGCATGATTTTTATGTCCCCTGGTTGACCTTGGAGGGTTTTTATGGAATTTTATGGGTATAGTCGTATAGTCGATTTTTATTTTTCATTTTCGTTGGGTTTTAAGCTTCGTCACCAGGGAAAAGTTGCACCATCTTGCGTCCCGCCCAAAGAACTAAATAAATAGTGCAAACGCGGCAAATTTAAAAATATATAATCGATTTTGACCTGAAATTATTATGACTAGGTTTGTATGATTTTTCTTTCAATGAAAATGAAATGGTATAGATAAGAGATGCTCTTTTTGAATATTTTCCCCCCCGGCGTGTCGGTAAGCAAAAGAAAAACTAATGAAAAATCTATAAATAATTCATCAATTTTTGTTGATTGAAATCCTAGAAAGCAAAATCGTTTAACCGTAGAAAAGCGGTCATGAAATTCCAGCTGGCATGGCGCAGGCATTTTATATAAATAGATTTTAAGCTTCCCTGCCAAGCCAAGTTTGATTAGGTATGTAAAGTTTTAGCAACTGTTCAGGATTTTGATTTTTGCATAAAATAAAGCTGGATTTATACAGCAAATAAAATAAAATGAGATAAAATAAGAAATAACAGTTAACTTCATGAGATACCCTTAAACTGTTTATACAGAAAATAACAAATAAAATAAGAAATGCATTAGTTATGTATTTGTTATTTTATCTTATGTTATCTTATTTTATTTTATTTGCTGTATAAATCCAGCTTAAGACAGAGAAATTTTTTGACGTGAAAACTTCTTTGGCACAAACAATTTTCTGGGTAGTGAATAAGGTTTGAGCCGTCACGCCCGAATTGTTAACGCTCATTCGGTCGGATACAGTCTCTCACCTCTAAGTGAAGTTTTCGCCTATTCTGTCGTGTAGTCTTTAAACCATTTTTTTTTGTTAGCTTAGGTATCTAATAACGAATTTGCCCACTTTCTCCGCTTTGTAAAATTAATAAGAGAGAGTTTTTGCCTTAGCAAATTGTTTTCGCAATCTGCTTCTCGGAATAACTATCACATCAACCCTCCTACCTGTATCATTTTAAGAAGACCCTCTTTTCTTGAAATACATGAGGGATTATATACAAAAATGCCCCATTTCTAAGGGTTCGGATATTATATTGACTCAGCATAAAGAGTTTTTGAGCGAAATCAGAATAATTATTCATAGTCCCGTCATGTTCTATCATATAAGTATATGATTGGGTTTTGAACGGTTGTTTCTTTATAAAATCAATCATCAAAATCAATTTATTGGTTGCCTTGAAACAGCGAAACATTATAAGCTGATAAGAATAAATATTGTTTGTTAGTCAATAGTCATTGACACCAAATTTATGTGGACGGTATTTTGACAAATCATTCACAGAAAAAAATTTGTGACAAACTGATAAATTTTTCAAATAATAGAGCAGATATACCTACTCAATGTTTATAAAGACATTACCAGTTATTTTTCAGTTTTTTCGTCGAACATTTCAATTTATTCGTCTTGGTAAACAGTTATTCGAGCAGTTATTCTATCCATTTTCGTCAATTTTCAGTATTTGGAATCAAAATAAACCGCAACTTCAGAAATAAATAAATGCATTAGGTAATAAATATATATATGTATAATATCCTCTTCTATCGTCGCAATCCTCTGATGTGATGAGAGATTTCTTTCACTTATAGACTTTTGTATGGTCTTCTGCAATTCCAGTTTCTGTCTTCTTCGCTTTCTTCTGCTTGTTGGTTGCCAATGCAACATTTTTCTGGGCCACCTGGTATTTGGCATTCGTTCTACGTGGTGTCCGTACCAGGTAAGTTGTTTCCTTTCAATGTCCTGGAACTATCGTGCCTTCCATTCTCATTTGTTGTTTTATATTGTTGTTCTTTCTTCATGAGATTCGCATGGATCTTCTAACAGCATCCATTTCAACTGCTTCCACTTTTATCTTTTGTCTTTCTGTATAATTAATTCTCCTAGTCTTGGCTCCACACGGAAGGCTGCTCTTTTTTATCATTGTCTCGCATATATTGAATTTTCTCTTTTTTTTTGTTATTTCCTTGGTCCATAAGACTCCATTTAGGCATCCTATTTTTTTTTTTTGCTTTAACTATTGGCTTTTCTATTTCTTTCACATCTGTTCTGGTGTTGTCGAATGTGATAATTAGATACTCATATTCGTGACATTGCAGAATTTCCAGACCATCGTCCATTTCCAAATTTCCGTTCTGGGTGCCTACATATAGATACTTTGTTTTATTATAACTGTCAGGCCCCATTTTTGGTACAGGGTGATCTATTATAAATGTCACCCCTGCTAACTTTTTTATTTGATGTTTTTGACAGAAATGTCAAATACAAAAGTTTTAAGGAATTTTCAAAAGTTTTTAATTAAATCAGTTTTAGGGCGCGTAAAAAAAGTGCAGCAGTGTGAAGTTGATTTTTTAAAAATGAAACACCCTGTATATTGTGCGCTTATTTGTTAGTCCCCTTTAAGCTGATTTCAACGATATATGGTCTGATATGTTTATCTCTCGGTTTATCTCCAATAGTTATAGGGAAAAACGCGAAAATTCCTTCCTAGGTCTCTCATGTTATTTTTTTAAAAATAATAATATTAACTAGGACATCTGGATTTAGTATAATAGTTCACCTTGTATATTAATAAATAAAGTTTGAACCATAAACTGTTGATAAAAAAAATTTCCTAAACCTTAAATGGTATAATTTTTCATTTTTCAATATAAAACCTTGAAAGGGGTTTTCATGTTTTTCCCTATAACTATTGAAGATAGACATATTAAACCATATATCGTTGAAATGAGGTTGAAAGGGACTAACAAATAAGTGCACAATAGACAGGGTGTTCCATTTGAAAAAATATAACTTCACACTACTGCACTGTTTTGACGCACCCTGTATGCCTAAAACTGACTAGTTGAAAAGTTTCGACAATAGACCTATATATTTTACCAGACAAAGAGGTAATAATATGAAATAATAATATGAAAACTTTATTAGATAGAAAAAGACGCTTTTTGCGCAAGACGAGGCAAAACGTACCAAATTATGTTAGACTTACGTATAGCAATCCGTTCTTATTATTCGCACGGGATAAAAAAGGAAGGAGGAAAACCGCGTCACATGCAACGTATTTGTCAATCAAAAACACAAATAATTGAAAAACGATCACTTGTCAAGCTACGTCAAGTTGAATATCAACCGTACTTTTATTCTTGTCAGACCGCGGGCAATAAACAAGGACAAGGAGATGCCCAGCGTGCAACAGGATTATTTCACAGCTGTACTAAAACGCATTGCCTCGTGTTGCGCGCGCATACAGGTAAAAATAGATAGGTCTATTTCTTGAAACTTTTGTATTTGACACTTTTGTCAAAAATGTCAAATGAAAAAGTTAGAAGGGGATGACATTTATAATAGATCACCCTGTACTCTTCTATCAGCTTTCCAATTATATATTGCATGTCCTCTTTGTCACTATGGCCACTATGACCTGATTATCTGCAAACTGAAGAGTAAACAGGCACCTATCATTTATCTTTATATTCATCCCATGGATCTTCCTCTTCCAATTTTTTAGTGCTACTAACATCCTTGACCTCGTACTTTATTCACTATAAACGTGTCTGTGAGGTTTTTTATTTATCTTAATTCTTGATTTTGAGTCTTTATATACATAGTTCTTTTTAAGTGCCGCTATATAAGTGTGATTGATGCTAATACTTTCCATAGTCTGGATACTGGGACTGTATCGTATGCTTTTTGTAGGTCCACAAATGTGAGGTGGGTTTCCAAATGTCTAGCAGATCTCTTTTCTATGACTTGTTTTAGGCAAAATACGTTGTCTATACCTGATTTTCCTGCTCTAAAGTCGCACTGCTCTTCTTCTTCTTTCTCTTTATAATCTTCTTCAATGAAATCACGCAGGATTCTATCGCATAGTCTGCTAAGTGTGCTTGTGACTGATATGCCCTGATAGTTATTGCAATCCAGCTTATTTCCTTTTTTGTGAATGGATGATAGAAAAGCCGTTCTCCATTTTGTAGAACAAGATTTATTATTGATAACACATTTGAGACCTTTAAAGAGCTTCTCAGTTTCATATGTCAGCATTTCGGAGTATTTCCCTTCTGGGCCGTTAGCTTTACCTGACTTAAGATTATTAAGTATTTTTTACTGTTTCTTCAGATATCTCAACTACTTCTCTATATACTTCATTATGTCTTTGAGAATCTAATATACTTACAGACTATACAGTGTATGCCATTCAAAATGAAACAGCCTAAATATCTGATGTCACTTTTATTTTTTAAAAAATCGTACATGTAATTTGATTGTGTGAGTATTTGAAACATTTTCAGCACTAACTTAACTCTCTAGGGGGAATGGGAGTAGTGATGGGCAAGACGAATATTACCAACGGAATATTCCCCAAGTTACCGTAATTTACGTAATATTAGACGATGCTCTAAGGAATATTACCTCTATACGGTGAAATACGTGAAATTCTCAGTAATTTTTCCAGGAATATTTTCGGGAATATTACTGTAGGACCACCATAAAACACGTTATTTAAACAACAAAACAAACTAACAACAGAAAGAGCTGGAAGATTAGTATATGTAACAACAAAATTATTAGCTATGGAGTCGCCTCTCGAATTGACTTAGAGGATTCATCCGAATCCCGGGATAATCCAGAACCAGGTTGCTCGGAATTGTTGATAAATGAATTCTGGTGCTGATCAGGATTCTGGTAGCGACAATGCGAATTAGAAATAAATACTTCCAAATATTACCGAATATTACGCAAAATTACGTAAAATTGCGTACACAGAAACATATATTTTTACCGGAATTTTACAACACTAGGTGAAAGCAACCCTTACAATTCCAAATGGAACAGGGGGTCGAGTAATACCTGTTTCAAGAGAGCGTTCAATTTTTTTTCAAATGACATCAAATGGAAGAGAATTGAGCGCTCTTTTGAAAGAGGTATCACTCGACCCCTTGTTCCATTTGAAATAGTAAGGTTAATTCCACTCCGCCTAGAGGGTTAAAGTTGAAATGCTAAAAATGATTGCAGAAAACTTTCCCCTTTGAAAATCAAATTACGTGTACGAGCGATTTTTTTAAAAATAAACCTGGCATCAAATATTCAGCCTGTTTCGTTTTAAATGGTACACCCTGTATATTCCGGTCTACTTTCTAGTAAAACAACCTTGTAGTGTTCTATCCATTGTAGGCTGGAATTTCTTTCCGTCCAAGGGTGCAGCATCCGAATCAGGAATCAGGCCATTTGTATGTTCAAGACAAGGGGTAAATCGCTGGGAATTATGATGTACAAAATCAGGAAATTACTATAGAAATTATTTATTGGGAAATAAGTAGGAGTTGTGTGAACTATTGAGGAATTGTGGAAATGGGAATTGCCAAGGAATTGTTGGAAATACTAAGGAATTGTAGGAATTATTTAGGAATTGTGAAAATTGTTGGGCATTACTGGGTTACGAGGCGGCGAATGTACGTCGGACCAATAGCAAATTAAAAGTGATAAGTCTTTATGTTTCAAAAGGCATAAGCAAAGTTTACGTCTCAAAAATATGTTCAAATTGAAGTTTTTCATTGGGAAGTTAATGCTTAAAGCATCAGCTTCAAAAATCACTAGTTTTTTATTGAAAATCAGATTATAAAACTAGAATATGCTGGAAAAAATATTAGTTATAGGTTTTTTATGTTATATTTAGGATGACGTCATCGGCCAAGGACAGACAATGTTGTCAATGCCTATTTTTTTCCTTATAATTTACCAGAAACTCATGTGTCAATAATTCTGACGACAGCTAAAAATAATGAAATGAAAATGTTTATACAAGTCATGTAACGTTGCGCGCCGTTGCCAACCAAAAACATCTGAAATTTCTCCCTAATTTAAGAGCCAAATTATGGACCAACTGCAACTGGTAAGTGTCTGGTTGTTACCTAGCAGGTACTTTCTATTATCTAGAGCATAGAAAGTACCTGCTAGGTAACAACCAGACGTTTACCAGTCAGTCCATAATTTAGCCCTAAATGCGTTAAAAAGTGCTTTTAGTTTTGTTAGGTTGGCAGCTAAAATTTACTTAATGTGACGTCATCCTAAATATAGCGTGAACATCCTATAGTTTTTAAATTTTTAAGTTAGTTCCTTTCCCGGAATAAAACAAAGTTGGGACAACAGGTAGGAAAATCTCGCTTGCAGTGCATCTGACGTCGAAGAACCCAAAACAAAACTTACGTAAAATAGTATTTTCTACAAAATTATTCATATACATTTTTTTATACGACCAACCGTTTTCGATATATAGCGTGATAAAGCGGGAGCGCGCACAAAATAGGTGATACTGTATTATACAAGGTGTCCCCGTTCAACTGGTCTAAAATGTTATGGTATATAGAGGAACCATAGAGAAGCACTTTGAGATAGGATAGTCGAAAGTGCGTCGTTTCCAAAATACAGGGTGTTGAAATTTAAACAACCCCCTTTCATATTATCTGGAGGGCTAATGTTAGGCTGTTCAAATTTTCAGGGATGATTGATGTAGGAATGATATTCAATTATATTCAATTTCCTATTTCCATTTCTCATTTTTTTCCAGATTTTCCCACTCAATTTTGGTCTTTTCCCAACTCTTAAACTTCTGTTTTCTTCAAATATTTCTGAATAAAGAGAATTCAAGAGCCTGGAATAGAGAAAATTTTTAAATTCCTACGTCTACCCAGTTTGTCTTCAATTTTTCCTCAAAATAAAACGAAAATGTTGAGTTGTTTCCGATTTGACCAGGAATGGGACACCTGCTATATTTTCTTATTTTGATAGATTACATTACATTACACCATTAAATTTGTTTTTCAAAATCGCGAAAATGCAAACTGCACGGAAAACTTCGTAAGTTGAAAAAGTATAAAAGTTTTGAACCTTTGGGGAATGGGAAGAAGGAAATTGCGTTGTTTCAAAGCTGATTAACATGATACTTCTGCCATACAACATCTATAATGCATTTTCCAATTTTCTCTTAAAGGGCCATGGCTTTAGCTTCAACATACCTACTGAAATGTCATATAAAAAAGGGAAAACCTATCCCACCACAACGTAGAAATTATCAATATATACATGGGAACACCATTGGTCGATATAGAGTACTTTTGTTTAACAAAAATTGAAGTTTCTTCTTGTCTTTTCAAAATCCACTAGGTAGCTATAATGGACACAGCCGCTTCATTTTTTTCATATTTCAAGCACCCGAAAGAAAAAAATTACTCCTGTCAAAAATAAATCAGCGATTGACAAACGTTGTGTCATGTAAGGCACTTTTTTAGTTCCAGTTTCTCACTTCTGCATTTATTTTGCATCAAAGTAAAAAATAGTATGAGTACTTCCGAGGAAAAGCCCTATCTCGGCTTGCAGCCTTTTTCTTTTTGGTAATTGACGAAAAACCTTTGGTGGGGAAAATTTTTTGGGTCGTAGCCAAGGGGTCGAGTCTTGTATAGCTTTGACTTTGATCAGGAGTTTCAATGAAAAAACAGATCTCCTGCTACCCCAAAACTGGCAAAAAATAGAGATGAAAACATAATTATTGATTGTTGATTAGTCCAAATGTTCACTTTAAACTTGTATTTTGTATGGTTACAACTCCAGCTTTGGTGGCTTCACCGCATCATTTTCATTTTGCCACTGATAAAAAGAAAAATGACAAATATTTCTTACAGGATCTTTGTTGTAGACAAATAATAATTCATTGTATCACACCTTATAAAACTTTATATAGGTATAGGGGAAATATTCAAGAAGAGCAACTTCTAGTCTAAATTGTGCGATTGTAATGAGCAGTTTATCAGTTGTCCATTTAACAAATCCATTGATCGTTTTTATAGTGTTAACCCTAGCGAGGATGATCCCGACGTCGAAGACGGTGAAATCACCGACGATGACGAAGCATCAGAACCGACCCCAATTGAACCCGTTGTACCAAACCCCGTTACCGCAGGCGCTCAACCCACAATCCCAGTTATCCCCAAAGGACCCCCGGGTAGCGTGTCTGACAGCGAAAGCATCAGAGACGCGGGAGAACTCCAATTCAAAGAGCAACGGTCCAGCGATCCCGAGAGATCGGACGACAAAGATCGGTTTTCCGATGGAAGAGAACGGGATAGAGGGAGGAAAGCTAATAGGAAGAATAGAGGTGCTAGAGATGACAAAAATCATAGACGAATGACTGAGGCTGAAAGAAGTATATTGCATTTGAGGAAAAGGGAGAAAATGCAGAGGCAAAGGGAGAAGTGGGACAAGCATCATAGGAAGGATGTTGATCCTTTAGGTTAGCAACTTTTCTGTCTTTTTATGTTATTTTTGGCCTTTTTGCTTTCTTAAAGTTACACTATATTTACAGGTATTTGCTTTCATTATTTTGCTACAAAATTGTATTGTTCTGCTTTTTTTTTCTTGCAAAAGACTAGTTTTTATGTGCTTCATGATGTACTTGTGACTATGAGGTTTTCACGAATATGAAGATGACAAATTCGTGCTGTTGTGAATTCACGTTGACGCTTGAAAATGCTTGTTTTTTGGTGTTTTTCTTAGAACATTGAATAAGATATTAATCTATGCTTGTTTGGTATTTATTAGGTATGGATTTTTCAGATGATGATTTTGCAAAAAATATCGAAAAAACGTTGGCCACGATATTGAACAAAAAAGAAAAAGAAGTGGCAGGTTTAAGCGGCGAAGAAACCAAAGACGACGACGAAAAGAGAGGCAAAAAACGTAAAAATCAAAATCGCGACAAAACTAAAAACAAACACAAACGTATGGTAGTGGATTCACCCTTTGCGGAAGATATTGACGATAGCGAAATGCTAAACATGCGTAGTGGATCGCCGAATGCTGAAATGCGACTAAATCCTTATCCAATGGAGCATAGAGGTTCAGAAGAAGAAAGTCTGCATTCTGGAAACAGCGAGGATGAAAGAGAGGAGCGAGCAAAAAGACGGATGAACAAAAATCGAAGAAAGAAAGAAATCAAAAGAGAAAAAAAGGAGAGAGATCAGAGACGAAACAATAGCACTAAAAGGGAAGCTCATATTAAATTGCTTCAGCAAGGGCAAGAAGATGGGGAGAAAGTTTGCGTGTTTTATTTGCAAGGAAAATGTCAAAAGGTAACTAACTTATTTAGTTATTAATAAAGTAAATATTCAAAACATTTTTGTTACAGCATGACTGTCCTTATTCCCATGAAGTGTGTCCTCCAATGAAACTGGAACTATGCAAATTTTATCTTATGGACTGTTGTGCCAAAGGCGAAAACTGCTCTTACATGCACAGTGAATTTCCCTGTAAATTTTATCACACAGGCTTAAACTGCGAGAATGGTAAAGATTGCAAGTTTGCTCATGGAAAACCATTATCACAAGGTAAGATTTTTTTTTTGTATGTATGTATGAAAACTCATAAGGGTTTGTCTAGGTCTAAAACAAATCCTCTTCAAACACATCGAGACTGCGCCCCGTGACATCTTGCAAGGTTTCCCAAGACTGACACGCGACGAGGCTCTCAACCTCATCAACCAAACTCAGAAAAATATGCACGATCAACTCAACACAACCAACGGGTCCGAACCCGCTTCTACCACAACCACATCTACATCACCACAACAGGGTTTGGGGATGTACAGGGAGACGAGCGCTACGGAGAGATCAGGGTCGCCAGAGGAATTTCCAGGTGGGATACCGTCATTGTTTGATATTAGCGTCCCGGTGCCCAGAGAGTTGGCCGAGGGATTAGATTTTGGTTAGTTATTTTTAATTTTTGTTTGGGCCGGTTTTTTTTTTTGTTTTCGCTGACGTGTGGGGGCTTTGGCGGGAGAAGGTAAACATTTTTTGTGTTGGTTGTGTATCTAATACAATTTTTGTGAGGATATGATGTATTTAAATCTTAAGATATTTGTACTGCACACTCTCATGGTAATTGATAATGTTTAATAATATCCTCACTTTTCAGCACCATGTAATTTTAAGGACCCGCAATATGGGGTTATATTAGGGGAATTGTTTATTCACTAAGATTATCTACGAGGCAATAATCGTTTTTATATCTAATTTGTTCATTCAGACATAAAACTCTCTAAGGCCCGCTTTATTCATATTCAGATAAACTTGTTGATAGACTTTGATTATCTGCAAGATTTTATTGGTTGGCCAACCAATGAGATTACGGATTGCGTTTTTATCCGCCAGATTGCATACTTCAATGTCCATTCTGGAAATTGAGAAACAGCCTTCTCAGCTGGGTGTCTATTCTCGTAACCAAAACGATCGCTTTGTCTTTGTCAGTGTTATGGAAATATAATAAATATGGGTGACTAAGAAAGAATCTTCGTTCTCATGAGAACGCTGCTCCCCTGTTTAAAGAATAGGTACCCTGTCCTCATAGTTTATCAGAAGATTGAAAATCAAATTCAGAAATCATTAACACTTTGTATTGGTGATGTTTTAAAAAATCACCTATACCTACTGTTGATTAAATTAGTATTTGCTTCTTGCAGAGTCTCCCAAATCAAGTAAGCAGAAAAATAATCGCTCATGTTGGCAACAAGACGAAGATTCAGGCTATTTGGCAAAGAATTTCAATAATTTTGGAACAGATCTCGATATGAGATTTATTAGTAATGGGGATATTGACATGAGAACTCTCCCTCCGATACAATCATCCACATCTACAACAATCAATAAAGATTCAGAAGGAGACGATAGTGTTTCACAGGGTGATGTGGATATCAGGAATTTCACTAAGGATGTTGATCATAGGTAAAAAAATTCTACTATTAAAAAGCATTGCATTTTTTTAAAAACAAATCATTTTGTAGAACTTCGTTTGCCAGAAATATGGACATAGATATCCGACAAAGACCTAGCGAAGATCCAGAAACGAGCCAGAATGGAAATTCAAAAGAATCCGATTATAAATTCGAACTTCCTGCTGCTGCCAGAGATTTACTGGCCAGGATAACTGCAAATCAGAAAGATAGTCCTGCTGATGCATCAATAGAAAGTAAAAATCAAAATTACGCAAAACCTGTAAGTAGACTTTTAGGTGTTTGTAAACCAATATTTCATTTTGTTGTTTCAAAAGGATGCTTACGAAGAACAAAACATCAACTGGTACTCGGATGACGATGATGATGACCGTTTGGCAATCAACATAGAAGAAGAGGAAATTCAGAGGAGAGAAAGGGAAGACAGTACATCAGAGAATCAGGAGGAACCTGAGAAAAGTTCGTTCTTTTCTCCGCCCCGAATCAACACCCAAACAGTGGACATTGTCAACAAATTGGGCGACCTATCAAAATTCGACATATCCGCCGAAGTGACTAAACTTTTATCTTCAATGAGTCAAAAAAATATTTTAGCAGCGCCAGCTGAGACAGCTACTGTGGCAAGTACGGAGTTCACTACGAGTCCTAGACCAGAAAGCGGTTTCAGTCCTAGAGGTCCTATGCTAACTGATCCTAGGATATCTAAACAGGTATGTTTTAATTTATTGTTGGAACACTGATGTGATGTCAAAATAATCTTGTTTTAGGGTGCAAGACAAGATCCAAGACAGCAGGATCCCAGATTGAACGATTCGAGACGGCCACGCCAAAGTTCCACGGAAACCAAAGAGAAAAAGTCAGATAAAATTAGCATCTACGAACAAGGGGGTTTAGATATGAAAAGGGCCGCTTTGGAAATTGAAAGAGACTTCAAAAGTATATTGAAGTATTTTAAGTGATAAAATCTACAAATCGTTTTTTTTCCAGACTCTGACACTGACTTGAGGAATATGCCTTTGCCGTTTAAAGGCATGCAAAATTATACTCCAGCAACTGAAATCGATGGTAGTATTAATTCTCATCCGCCCATGGTATGGAAACTTGTGATTGTTGAAGTGCCAAGGCCTGATTATTCGGGTAAGTTAACTCTATAGATTGTTTGTAGATATTTTCATTAATGTACAGGGTTTCTCATTGAAGATGGGAATTGGGGTTATCTGCTAAACTCGTAGAGGTAGATTTTTGTTGATTTTACCATGTTCAATTGTAGATTGTGGGGGAAGTCGTTTCGGCTTTCCAGCCGCTCAGCACTGCTACCTTTGCAAATATTTTGTACTTGACTCTACATCTCAAATTGTCTCCAGGGTCCTAATTCTTCCGTCTCTGTTACCTATATTCTCAGCCGCATATCATTGAAAAAGACGGAACACTCGTTCTTCTGGAAACGCTGCTCTCCTGTTTTAAAAATAGGGACTCTGGAAGGTTAAACTTTTACCGAAGGAAGCTATTTTTCTGGGTGTCAGTTGGCCTACTTCTTCTAGTGACAGTGGAATTTGAACCTCTTGCAGAATTGGGCTGGACATTCGTCTCTATTGTGTTTGAACAGAATCTGCAGAGATCGTCTTCTGCTCTGCCCATTAACCTTAAGTGGTATTTCACCAAGCAGTGTCCTGTGAGCAGTTCTACGACCATTCTGATGTTTGGTCTGCTCATGTTTAGGAGCTGTTCAGCTCTTTTTGCTGAAAGAGTGATAAACATTGTTGACTGTATTAGTCTTTCCTTCTATACCTTGATGACCAGACAGCCACATCAGCGTTACCTGGTTGTGTCGCTAGTGTTTTTGACCACTGCAAATGGGATCTCTAAGTCCAATCTGACCATCATGTGGTCGCTTGGTTTGCTGACATTCTCCACTTTTATTATTTCAAAATTGCGCAGATGTCCCCTCAGATCACCAGGCTTGAACTTGTCTGTTTAGAATAGCCTGTGAGCGCTGATTATTGCCTCCTTTTTCACACATAAGTGAAGTGGAGGCATGTTAAACAGCGTGTCTAGGGCTGCGGTGGGCCAGGATGACATTACTCCCGGTATTCCTAGGCATATCAGCCTTTGTACCTTGTTTAGCTTGATCTGAGCAGTGACTTACTGAGTTTTGGGCTACCATACCAATGAGGCGTATGTGACCATGGGCTTTATTATAGTTTGGTAAATCCAGAACGCCATCTTTGGCTTTAGCCCCTATGTTTCACCAACCAGTTTGGGGTATGACCAGATGGCTGATATAGCGCTAGAATATGTTTTCTCTAACTCTTTGTTCCAAGTGAGCGTTTGGTCCAGGGTAATCCCCAAGTATTTCACTTCGTTGGAAAATGTTAGTGTTGTACGTGGTTGTACCGTTGGGGCGGGGCTTTTAAATTTAGCTTTCTTCTTTTTATGAACGGGGCAAGAATTGTTCTGCTTGGATTTAAAAATAATCCCTCGCCTTCGCTCCAATTTCTAACGATGTTTAGAACATTTTGCATTCGGTTTATTATTACGCCTTCGTGTTTGCCATTGATTAAAATGGCCAGGTTATCTGCATAGCCTATGACTTGGTATCCAATACTACTCAGTCTGGTAAGGATGTTGTCCACCACTAGTGGAGAAAGAACACCCCCTTGAGGACACTCTTTAACCGTGGTAGCGGTAGTAAATTAGCTAATTCACTACGGGGGTTCAAGTCCCCTTTGCCAAATTTAGCTTCCTTCTTTTTGTGAACGGGGCAAGAATTGTTCTGCGCGGGTTTAAGGATAATCCCTCGCCTTCACTCCAATTTCTAACGAAGTTCAGAGCACTTTGCATTCGGTTTGTTATTAAGCCTTCATGTTTACCCTTGATTATAATAGTCATCTGCATAGCCTATGACCTGGTATCCAGCACTACTTAATCTGGTAAGGATGTTGTCCACCTCTAGTGGAGAAAAATTACCTCATTGAGAACACCCTCTGACCGTGGTAGCGGTAGCTGATGCTTTGTTTATTTCAGTCGTAACGTAACGGTGTTTACTTTTACATTACAATTACCTATACTTTTTCTAGGTTTGAAATTAAATATGAGCGATGCTCAAAAGACAGGCGATCCAAGAATACGAAAATTCTTCCGTTTGAGCATTGATGAAAAAGACAGTCCAGCATCTCCAAAAGCCAGTCCAAAACAAAGCAGCAGTAGTGGAGGAGTCAGAATCGATCCCAGACTCAGAAAAATCGAAGAGAAACCTCAAGAATTGATGGTAAGAATTTGATTGTCAAATATTGTTTATTTATTGTCAACATTTAGTTGCAGGATAATGTATCCCTTGTACAAATGAACTACAACCAGCAAATAGGGATGTTGCAATCGTCCCAATTTTACCAGAGCTTAACCAGCCACCAGAAACAGATGCTGAATAAAGAGCTGGCCAGAGTCGATAAGAGTGGCGGCGGCGGCCTAAATGATCCAGTTCTAAATACAATTCTAGGAACTTTGAATTTGCTTCCACAGGTTAGATTTCCTTCTAGAAAAAAATCATTTATTTGAACAACTTTAATTTTTTCGCAGGCTCCTCAACAACAAATTCAAGCTCCATTAACAGGACCGAACATGCACATGGGCGCCGCAACATCAATACTCAACAACATAAACAAAATGAACCCGATGCTTCAAATGGGTCAGCCGGGCCTGTTAGGAGCAGCCCCCGGAATACCCAACATGCCTCACAATATTCAATCGGAATTCCAAATGGGTTTCGATCCGAGAGGCGGGCCTGGCCTGTTGGGAAACGCGCCAGCTGGTGCAGGTTTCGCACCTCAATTCAACATGGATCAACAACCTCAATTTAACATAGAGCAACAGCCTCAATTCAACATGGACCAACAATTTGGTATGGATCAAGCTCAGTTTGGCATAGATCAAGCTCAGTTTGGTATGGACCAATCACAATATGGCTATAATAATGATGAATATTATAACAATTATAATGAAGGAAATAGTTCTCAAGGTGGACATTTCAGAGGCGGGCGAGGTTTCAATAATAATAATAGGGACTCGAGAAGGCGGGGGAATAGGGACGGGTTTAGAGGACGTCCAAATAATAGGAACTTCCATAAAAGGGGCGGTAATAGGGATAAAGGTGATAGGAACGACAGGGAGCGAAGGGGCAATAGGGGGCACTCGCCATCATAGTGTTTACTTGATTCTATCATCCAGGATAAGGAGTTGCTGCAGATGTTCGTTAATATGTGATACATAAACAAGTGGATGATAGAATTTTGGATTGATGTAAATAATTTTTTGTAGTGCCAAATAACTGTAAATTGGTGTAAATATTCATCCGTTTTGTAATGTTTAAGACTGAAAAAAGTCAGCAAAATAACAATATCCTTGCTTCCATAATATTGACATTGGGACTGATAAGGGTAACCTAGGTTGTAAATAATCATATTTTCCATTCCTTGGCATGATGTAAATAATCTATTAGTTGACCAAAAAATGTATTTATTTTTTTTTTATAAAACTAGAATTTCTTTTTTTATTTTGTGGTTTGCCTGGAAGGCAATTTTTTGGCGGAATCGATTAGTTTTTAATAATAGCATATAAGGACCTGCTGCTGCTTTTTAATTTCAAGGAGAGTTTACACTTTATTCATGTAGAGTTTATGTTTAAAGGATGTATAAAGTTAATTTTAGATTAATAAATGACCTTTTTGAGAATAGCCCTTATGATATTTATTACATGTATATTAATTTTTAGAGATTGGCAAGTGTATACATACATATTGGGTATTTTCCCCTTTTGGCTAAAAACTTGGAATTGTTTTACACAGTTTTTGGTGGGGTTCTGACTAACCTATCATAATTTATATGTTAGTATAGAATATTGTAACAAAAATTCAATTTGTTTTTTTTTTTTTTTTGTCAATAAAAGGAGTTAGATTACTTATTAAAATATTTTATTTTATTGAGGAATATATACTTGGAAAAAAGAAGGAAATACTTTCAGGTCCTTCGTCCTTTTCTTTCCTTTAACTGAATTTCAGACAAGGAAAGAAAAGGGTGAGTCAGATATAATAATCCAATCAAATTAGCCCAACTTTTGTATAAATTTCTGAAACCTAGTTGCATAAAGATATACCTGATAGTCTAATAAACATACAAAATTATTCAGTACATAGACACAACAGAGTTAACAGAAGGGGTAGAGGTGTATGTTAAGGATTTTTTACTAAACTACAGGATACAGGTGACGAGCATCGGAAATACCCAGCCTCCGGAAGATATTGAGACCATCGCTTTAAATTATTAAATATACAGATATCGACTTATAGGTTTTGCCTGGTCTGTGTCTATAGGCCTCCAGATATTTCGTTGGTGAAAAACCTAGAATTGATTGACTATTTAACACAACTATCCATAAAAAATGAAAATATAATTAATTAATATATTACTCTTCATAATGTATATTTGTGATTTATCATCTAAGGTAACATCGTCTATAGCTTACTTTGCTGAAAACACTAAATTGTTCGGCCACCCTATGCAACATCAGATTGGAGAAGACTTGGGAATAATACATGAATGGACTAGAAAATGGATGCTGCGCCTTAACTCGAACAAGTGTACAGTTCTTCATCTGGGAAAAAATAATCCGCATACTCGGTATCAGCTTGGAGATTCTTTGATACAAAGTGTGGAATAGCAAAAAGATCTTGGAATTTAGGTCAGTGATGATTTAAAGTGGGAACCTCACATTGCAAATATTGCTAAGAAGGCAAATACACTATTTTATCTTATACAACGAGCATTCTGTGATAACTCAGTAGAAATGGTCCGAAAATACAGTATGCCTGTTCAGTATGGAGTCCATATTTTGTTAAAGATATTGAAATCCTTGAAAGAGTCTTGAGAAAAATGACAAAAATTTCTGATGAAACCAGACATTTATCATACCCGGAGAGATTAGAAATATTTCAAATATCATCTCTAAAAGAAAGACGAGAATGTGGGGACATGATACAGGTTTTCAAAACTTCTATAACCCATTAATTGAGCTTTCATTATTCCATCTCAACGAAAGAAGGGAATTGCCACCTGCTGATCAGAAAAAACTTTATAACAAATCGGGTAGTATATAAGTGGAACTCGCTTGAGGAAGAAACAGTGACAGCTCCAATGCTGTAAACGCATTCAAGAGTAGACAACGAGCATTAAACAATCAATTCATGCATTACATTTAACGCGCAATATCCTTTTGACAGTTAGCTATGAACATTAAAACAACCATAATTAAAAATAGAGCAATAACACATCGGTTTACCGGCTTTATTGCTCGAATAATAATAATAAAGGTTCTATTTTCATCATTACAATTCGCATTTTGGTTCTTTTGGATTTGTTGAAATTTCATTCAGAGTCAAAGCAAAAATATGCTTCAATGTTGAGCTAATGACACTTAACTACTCACCTGAATCCTATAAATATTCTTAAGTTTATATTTGACCTACCTTTTTATTTCTATTATTTAATTATTGTTAAATATACTACATATATCATTTTTCTATAATAAAATACTTTTTGATTTTTTAAATTCTTCAAAGTCATCAAGTTCTATACAAACCCATTTTATATTTTCCTTTAAATTAACAGAAATTAAAACCACAATCAGTGTTTGATAAATTTACGTTCATATAATTTGTCACACAAGTATCACAGGCAAATAGAAACTAGGGATAGGACTTATTATTGAAACTAGTTTCAGAGCAAGATTTTGCAATTATTGCCAACACATAAATCAAATATGTTTATTTGAAAGTAATTTACCAACTCTGCAAATAAACCATTAAAATTGACAGCCTAATAAAGCTAAAAGCCAGCATAGTTGTCAGCAATTTCCACTCAGTACAAACGCACTACTGAATAATAAACCAATTTCAATGTGAAAAAAGAAAACAGCAATATATTATAACTCAAAAGAAAAAACTAAATAACTAAATTATGCCTACCCTTAGTACATAGTACCATACATACACAACTTAATCGGAGTAAATAAAATTTTTGCACTAAATTTATAAACCAAAAAATACCTCTAGATGATTTTCTGTGGATCTGCTACAGGTTTCTGAGAAATTATTTTGATTCCAGAATTGGCCAGTCCGTAAAACTCCTTTGGAGAGAGTCTCGGGTTGGTGCTGGTAAACTTCCAACCGACATGATTTCCACAGTTGGAACATTGCATTATTGTCCATGCATAACTGTTGGTTCAATGTAAACAATATAAATAATTACTAAGACGAATTTAAACTTACCCACGAAACCATGAAAATACCCTGGACATAGTGCCAAGTAGTTTAAAGTTTATGGCTGAATTTACTGTAATAGTTTCATAGACATGTCCTCCTGACAAAGTAGGACAAAATAGAATATTAAGTGTTAACTGCTAAAAATTTTGCTTTATGATTAATGGCAAAATGTTTTACCTGGATTAACAAAATTACTTTGCATTCCGTCTTTGGACATGGCAAATACTTTGGTGGGGTCTGTGATTTGGATGCCACAATTTTCACAACAAATTAGTCGTCCCTAGAAAAATTGGCCTCATAACTTTCTACAATATTCATTGATGGATTACTCACCAATTTGAAGTAAGCAACTTCTAGCTTTAGTCTTTCCAAAGTGCTTCTGAGGCCTAGAATTTCCAGTCGCTCTCTGTGGCTCAAATGGAAATTTTGCACGAACCAATAGGAAAGTTTTTCTGGATCTTCTGGCACTAGCTCTAGGGAAATGTATTATGTATTGCTATCACTCATAGTTATTGTAAAGTACCTTTTCCGTATGCACTAAGTCCTTCTAGTAATATTTTTGTGTAATAGCTAACTTCATTTATGTCATACACCCAACTTGGTAATGGAAATTGTGCTGCGTGGTATCTGAAATGGAAAGTATATTTTAAAAAAACATATAAAGAGTAAAATTCACATTAATAGAAATTTTGAATAATGTTGGATGCCATATTTAGTATATCATGAAATCATGAGTTTGTAGTCTAAGCAAATAAACATTTCAATGCAAAATCTTACCTTCTATATGATTTGCATTGCTTGAGCTCGTCAAAGTTGTGCAAAGTCCATTTTCTTTTACTTTTAAGGGCCAGAAGCTGAGTATCTTCCAACGGAGAGACAATGGGTGGTTCCGCCAAAATTTTCACTGTAATTAGTTTGATCCTACCTAAGAAAATATTTCTTTTTAAATGAATTTTATCCTCAGAAACACAGTTACCTGCAAGGTTTTCTGTTCTGGATCCAGTCACCCTTTTGCATCTCTGTCTGCCTCTTGCTTTGATGTGCAACATATCGTTCCGTAAATTGGTTTCGAATATTTCCATTGTGACTCCGTATTCGTACAAACCGCTATACAGTGAACTAAAACCAATTTAAAATTTTTAACAATGTTTCAAAATCTTTCAGCTCCAATATTTTGAAATCTGTGAGAGACATTAGGCGGTTACACACGGACGTGGATGTCTTGATACATATACGTGCATACATCAACGTGCAAACAACAACGTGCATGTCGCGTTTGTACAGACGCTCGCACAAAACTGCAGTCTTGCTATTCTTGCTTCAGTAATCCGAGTGTGCATACAACATTTCTAGCGATTCCACATTCAAAAACGCGACGATATATTGCATACACATTGATGTTTTTGTTTGCGCGTTCATGTATGTACGTACATGTTTTCAGACATCCACATCCGTGTGTAACCGCCTATTGAATCAACATTTTCAGGAATTGTAGCTCCTAATAAGCTCTAAAAAACCTGTATTATTCTGATTTACAGTTTTTGACTGGAACTCAATTTTGAGGCACAATTGCTCAAAGAGTATTTGAGCTATCAAACTCAATTTAGCACAGATTTATAGAGAATTTAATGCTCTTTCTAATAGTGTATAAAAGGTAAGGGTAGTTTCAAAATATAGTAATATGTTTTACTATATTATAAGTGACACTTACTTGGGACAAATCAAGACAAACACTTTGTGATGTTCCTGTAGAAAATTATCCAACGCTCGATTCTCAAAAGTGTCGTTCATTAACAACGGTAGAGTGAATCCAGGAAAGACCAGGGTGCTGGTGTAGATGGCGAAAATATCTTTCAAAACGTCCCCGTCTTCGAAGAGAGTGTAGCCGCTCACTGGATTTAGCCTTCCTAGGTACTGAAAATGTACATAACTCTTTGATAATACTTTACTTTGATAATAATATTGATGTTCTTCGGTATATATGAACCATCGTTTACTAAATTACATTTATAGATAAAAATACATAAAATGACAATTTTGGATTTTCTTAACGATACAGGGAAAATAAATAAATTGCCCCTGTTTAATCCTCGTTAGATAACCCTGTACATGACTCTTTGAAAATCTATATTAAGGTTTAAAGTCAACCCCTATTTTCTGAACCTTGTGTTCAAAAATTCCAAAAAAAATATATGTTTTATGGTTATTGATATACTTTAATCTATAATTTTTTAAAGCAAATTTGTCTCGCCATTTTTGAGTTATATCGCAAAAACTGAAAAAAAAGTAGTTTTTCACCATTTATTTCAAAACGAATAGATGAAGATTCCCATTATTTTTCTTACGAACTACTATTGCAATTCTACGCAACATATATTTTTTTTATATTTTTTGAACTTGTAGTTTTCTCGCTACTGCAAAAATAGTTGGAAATACGCCCGTAGCTACACTGTTTAGAAAAAAATCCGACGAATGAACGTTCAAAATTATTTGCGTTGGTCGAAACTACAACCCTGTTTATGTGAAACAGAATAATACTTCGAATTTCCGCCAAAAAAAGAAAAAAAACGTTACATCACACAATTTAACCAAATGAAGATTTCTATCTTTTTTGACCGTCAAGTTAGGGCACACTATAGGGGCGACAGCATTGACATCTCGCGTTGCTGTAATAAACTATAGGCCTGACTTTAAACCTTAAATCCAATATATTTTGATTAAAAGTGAAAAAAAAATATATAACTTGAGAAATCATATGACATCAAAGACATTTGCTTCATAAGTAAAGTCAAGAGAGGAAAACTGCATAGAGCCTATTGAAGCAAGTTACTAAGTGCCAGTTTCTCAACAGCAAGTCATCCCCGGGTTAAGCATAACTCAAAGGTAAACATTGCAACTGGACACGATTAACCTGGAGTTAAAACCAACCCGGATGTGGCTCATTATTGAAAAACTGGCCCAATGAATAAAAAGTTAATAAATTTACCCCATGAGTTGTTGGTATATCTCTGTCGTATTCACCTGTTGACATGTTAACTAGTGGTAAGTCTTCTTGTTCTTCTAGAAAAAAAAACCTCAATTAAAAACTTGCAGAATGTTTCTTTATTGCTGTAGTATTTTCTCATCTTTGCTATAAGATTTAATTTGTGTTTTGTGGAATTAGGAAGACTTTTCATCTCTTCTGGGCTAGGAGTTCTGAAGTTAAATAAAGAGATAGTTTTATAACTCATTGAACTTTATTAATTACCTGGTTAATACCCTGCAACTTACTCTGAACAGTTTTAATACCCTAAAATATGAAAAGACTAAAAGAGGACAAAGTAACATGGTCGACCGACGACCAATGCATTACCTGACAGTTTATCAGAAGATATATAAACCAGGCCTTAGCTTGGTCCAAATTTCTGAAGACTTTTTATCTCTTCTGGTCTACAAGTTCTGGACTTAAATGAGGAGATAGTTTTTTGACTTATTGAACTTTAGTAAGTACCTGGTTAATTACCCTGCAACTTACTCTGGGCAGTTTTAATACCTTAAAATATGTAAAAGATTAAAAGAGAAATGACATAGTGACATGGTCGACCAATGCATTACCTGACAGTTTATCAGATGGTATATATAAACCAGGCCTTACCTTGGTGAAAATTTCTGAAGACTTTTTCTCTTCTGGTCTAGAAGTTCTGGAGTTCAATAAAGAGATAGTTTTGTAACTTATTGAACTTTAGTAATTACCCTGCAACTTATTCTGGGCAGCTTTAATATCTTAAAATATGTAAAAGGAAAAGAAAGGACAAAGTGACATGGTTGACCAATACAATGCACTACCTGACAGTTTATCAGAAGGTATATAAACCAGGCCTTAGCTTGGTGCAAATTTCTATTTTGATATTCTTCTTTGCAAGGACTAGGAATTTAGGTTTCCATAAAATAACAATACACTTAAGCAATATAAGTTGTTACACAGATTATGGGGCTATTTTAAGGACCATGTTGGTGGAATAATGTGATCCAACTTACACCTTTGGACTGTGAAAATACAAGAGCCCCCTATTTCCACTATGTAATGTATATTCAGAGCTTAAATTAAAGAAAACTCATTCTTACCAGAACTATCCTCTCGTTCAGCCCCAGAATTGGAGTCGCTAATGTGCCCATTCTCAAATTCCATTATCAAACTCAGGTCGTCTTGATCGCTGTCCTGGTTCTCTGGATCGCCGTCCTGGTTTTCAGATCCGGACATGTTTCAAAAAACTTTAGAGGTATTTCTCAAAGGAAAATTGCGTTTTTGAGCTATTTAGTTTGAATTTATATTTATAAACACAAAACAAACAATTTCATATGACTCATATGAGAAATATTTTTCCAAAAACAGCTGTTTTTGCCGGTGTTGTCACAATTGTAGCGTTTTCGATTTGTATAAAACTGATTTTGCACTTGGACTCGGTTTCACTTCGCACACGCTTTTCAGCAATCCCACAAACAAACACAATTAAAATATCGAGTATAGGTATTTTAAGTCGCGGTAAGATACTCTATGGCCTCATTTTAGTTCTTTAAATCCCTACAATAAGAACCAGCAAAACTAGTTCAGAACCGATTCTAGAACACAACTGTTCTTACCGCGAACGAAGTTATTGCACCAGTCTCTATAAATCCCATGTTTTAGCATTCGACGACGCCATATTAGGGCAGCTTGGAACTAAAAATCATTTCCACTCGTAGTACAGCCTGTTAGCGGTAAGAAAAATCTTACTCGAGTTGCACCATGGAGCTGGTGCAGAAAAGGAAGAGCACAAGCAAATGGTTATCGTTGACGGTTGATTAGAGCCGGTTTCTCAATAGCAAGTCAAGTCACCCCCGGGTTAAGCATAACTCCAGGGTAAACATACCAACGCTGGACACGCTTATCCTAGAGTTAAAAAAAACCAAACAAAAAAAAAACCAATCCATCTGTCAAAACGAGAACTTCAATATGGCGTGGCGGCTAGCAAATTGGTTTCGAATATGGTGTTTTCATGCATATTTTAATTATTTTGCTTCGAGTTTTGCTTGCAGCTTCGATTTTCATTATTCAATAAAATATTTGTTTATTAGGTACCATCGTCACCAAAAGTATCTGGGACACAAATAATGCATAATTATCTCCTGGACTAATTCTACTGTCATTCATTTCAATGCATTTGATTAATAGTTTGACAAATAGGACAAGAGCTAATGTGATGCTGTCCCAAGATGCTGTCCCAGTTACTTTTGGTGACGATGGTACGTAAACTATTAGGTCGGGCAGAAACTAGATTTTTGTGTTTTTTGGTCCATGTGTGGGCGCCACGCCATCTTGAATGTCACGTGGTTTGGATTGCCTACTGTTTATATTTTGACAGCTTAGTTGAGTAATCTAACCCCACTTTTTTTTCTTGTTATTTATTCTGAAGATTCCTGAGCTTGATTAATTTTTCCTTGGTGTTTTTTATGGGGGAATTATTAGAAATTGCTGTTTTTGCAGACATAAATGGAGCGTAAACTAGTTTTGACACAGCATAGCGTGACGGTAAGGCATCCGGTAAATTCCTTTAGATAGCGGGCTCCGCTAACGCTAATACCGTAAGAACTGTCATACTTGTCAAATAGCGTTACGGTATTTGAAATTTGGACGGCACGAGAACTGTCTATTGAGAAATCGACCCTTGTCGATTTTAAATTTTTAACTGGCGAGCATTGAGTTAGCCGGCGAGGCATTCAAATATATTAGGTTATGTTTATGGGTTTTTCATTGGTACTTTCAATAGCCCTTTTCACGTGGCTCCGGTTTAATAAACCTCAACATACCGCTAAGGGCCAAATTACAAAATATTTGCATCTGCAAATTTGCAGTTCTGCAAATATGGCCGACTTGCATATGTGCTCTATTTGCAGAAATGAGCAAATTACAGAAAAAATCTACAATTTCATCATATTTATCGGGAAAAAGTGTTTGGGCGCTACTGCCGCTAGTGCCGCTACTCAAGAATCGTAAACTCTGCAGGATTGCTCAATCAGTCAACAAGGGCCAAATTACAGTATATTTGTATCTTCAAAGCAGCTCTGCAAATATGGCCGACTTGCATATATAGCCTGAAATTACAGAAGCTCTGCAACGCCAAGATACAAAAGCAGGACCTGCAAGTCTGACTTTTCGTATTACAGAAGCAGAATGCATTTGCAAGTCGCCTGCAAATTTGCGCATGGTGAAACGGTCCCGCAAGTCCTTGCAATCACTTTGACAACTTTGACATTTAAAACTGGTAAATCAGTAGCGCCCAAATACTTTCTTCCGATGAACATGACGAAATTGCAGATTTTTTTTGTAATTTGCTCGGTTCTGCAAATAGAGCACATATGTAAGTCGGCCATATTTGCAGAACTGCAAATTTGCAGATGCAAATATATTGTAATTTGGCCCATATGCTCTATTTGCAGAAACGAGCAAATTACAGAAAAAGTCTGTACTTTCGTCATATTTATCGGAAAAAAGTGTTTGGGCGCTACTGATTTACCATTTTTTAATGTCAATGTCGTCAAAGTGATTGCAAGATTAGTATTAAGGCCGTTTTACAGCTTGCAAGAAAACTTGAATGCAATTTGTTGCATGCAAAAAAATTGCATTCAAGATTTCTTGCGCATCGTTTTACACCTTGCAATTTGACTTGTTTCCTTCTCTAACCTTAACCATACTTTTTTGATTTTAATGTTCTGTTGTTGATGTTTGCATTTTCCAAAAATAAAAAAGTGATTATAAGTCGATATAAAAAGAAGAAAGCAATAGTAGCAACTTTAAGCATCATAATTGCTAAAAATTCGCAAGCTTGCACGAAAACCTTCAAAAAAAATGGCACCAAACCGATTCCATGCAATGCCATTCAAGTTTCAAGAATCTTGCAGAAACCAATCAGCTGACTCACTTCTGCGCATGCCCTCGTTCAAGTTTCTTGCATATTGCAGATAGAATTGCAAGCTGTAAAACGGCCTTTTCAGAAGCAGAATGCATTTTGCAAGTCGCCTGCAAATTTGCGCATGTTGAAACGGTCCCGCAAGTCCTAAATCAGTAGCGCCCAAACTAAACACTTTTTTTCGATAAATATAACGAAATTGCAGATTTTTTCTGTAATTTGCTCGTTTCTGCAAATAGAGCACATATGCAAGTCGGCCATGTTTGCAGAACTGCAAGTTTGCAGATGCAAATAATATATTGTAATTTGGCCCATATCTGTGAGTCAGACTTGCAAGTCCTGCATTTGTATCTTGGTGTTGCAGAGCTCCTGTAATTCCGGGCTAAATTTGTTCACAAGAACTGTGACGTCACCTGCATTTCTGACATGTTCCTTATCAAGTGTTAAGTGTAATTATTAAAAGTTTTATTTAATGTGTCTAAGCATAAAAGACTCATGGCTAAAAATAATCGCGGAAACCCCAAACATTTTCTGGTTTTAGTGGTTTTGTAATACTGAATTTGTTACATCAGGCCATAGCTTTCTTTTATTCGTGTGTATTGCTTAGTTTTCTACTGTTAGTATTTCCTAGTCAAGTATTTGTATTGTTTTTTTTGTAGATCAAATTACTACTTAGTTGTGAGTTTCCTTTGCATTGTGATAACTAGAACTTAGTGTTTGTGAAGAATAAATAAATAAATAAATATGTAAATAAATTCTTTTACTGGTGCGTTTACTAAGTAAACGCATGGAAAATATGGGAAACTTGTAGTGTTTTTCTGGATTATGAATATGAAAATCTAAATAAGGTATCACTATTTGGCTTTGTGAGATAAGTTTACTTTGAATATCCATATTAAATCGTTCTAGTACCTATGAAACTATTGAATAATAATTGAGAAGTATAGATAGAGACAGTAAAAAAAAAACACAATATTGCAACCACGTTTCGCTTATATTTTGATAATAGATACAATGCATCCTTTGTTTATTGCATGAGAAAGGTCTATTAGCTAACCACTCAAGCACACAAACTTTTAAAGTTTGCTAAAAAAAACACAGTTTTCAAAGGAAATCAGATCAAGGACTGCGTGACGTCACTCGCATTACTCTATGTTCGATATTTTTTTGAACGTATGTCTTGTCTTATGGGATTGAGCAATCCTGTAGAGTTTGAGAAATACATGCCAATGGAAAAAAGTTGAGAGCCAGAAAAACGACACATGATGGTAATAGGTATAAGAAATAAGGTGAACAAAGGAAGGAATATTAAAAGTAAAGAAACAAGAACTTAACAACTAATTTATCAATATGAATAGAGAATACATTAGAGTTAGAAAAACAAGGAAAAATAAGGATCATAAAATGTTAGAAATTGATACTGGTTAATATCTATCGATCAGAGAGGTGGAATGCGTAGAAAAAAAATATGGTCCTAAAGAAGACTAAGCAAATAATAAAGAAAATAAACCCTTCTTTACAGACCTTAGAGAGTCAGTAATGACAAAACAATAGGTCTGTTTCTGCAGAAATCACAAACCAGTCAGAACGAATTTCATTGGTTGAAAATAGTCAGAAACAGTCAGAAAACTAGTTTCAACCAATGAAATTCACTCTGACTGGTTTGTGATTTCTGCAGAAACAGACCTAATATTAATTATAATAGGTGAGACAAGACACGAGAAAAAGAGGGAAATTCTAGGTTGCAACATGAAATGGAAGAAGAAAAGTCAAAAAAACAAATGGAACAAGACTTTTGAGGGTATAAAGTAAAGTCCGTGGCATGGTTCTTGAGCTACGACTACTGAATAGACAGAGGGGACAATGGGCTATTGCTGCGTTGTCATATCAATAATATTTATTAATACATGAAAATGAAGGAAATTTTATTGCAATTTCCATGTATTAATAAATATTATTGATATGACAACGCAGCAATAGCCCATTGTCCCCTCTGTCTATTCAGTAGTCGTAGCTCGCAAGAACCATGCCACGGACTTTATAGTTGATAAGAAAAAAAATACATTATTCAAAACAAACGTATTATATTTTTCAATTCAAATCAGGTATCCCATACAATAAAAATGGATATCAGTAAATAGATAGAAGGAGAAGGTGGCGTGCTTATTTTCTGCTATAGCCTCCATGACCGCGTCTTCCATAGCCACCATGTCCTCCATAGCCACCATGTCCTCCATAGCCACCTTGATGTCCATAGCCACCATGACCATAACCACCTTGAAAAAAAAATTTATACAAAAATGATCAAAACTAACTTTTCTATTGAATTTCAATGCAATAAATCTGCAATCCAATTCTTATACAACTAATTTACTTACCGTGACCGCCGTAATTTACACCTGGGAAGCTGGCTTCAGCCGA